TCTGACCTATATCTTTTTGCTGGATAAGCAATTGGGATCTCCAAGACTATTTGCTTTACCACCTTGAAGTATGGTATGGTAGAAGAGGTACGGGAATGAATGTCAGCATGTCAAAGTTGTCGAAGTTCCTACCCCTAGTCGAAAAGTATTACGTCTATGGGGCAAATGGCTAAAGGAAAGCTTTGGGCTTTTAAGCTCAAAACCAGATGACTCTCGAGCGTTTGGAGTATATCAATATGGCGATATCCGATTTGGCAAAAAAGCCGCCTTCCAGTGACCTTCATACACCACAGAAAACATTCAAGTCAAGCAAGTTGACGGATCAAAGAATATAGGGAAGGGCAAACGTTTTTTTTCCTTTTGAAAGGAGGGTAGTTGGAAGTTGTCCGTTGGAGATTTTTTCAGGTCGGGATATTTGTAAAAGCTGTCAATTGGTACGTGGAAAAGAAATTAGTAGAAGTGCTTTGTTGCTGTTCCTCTGTCGGCTGCTGGGCTTACCCGGTAAGCCCAGCAGCCAAAGCCGGTAAGCCTTACCGGCTTTGGTATGTCCGAGGGTTGAAGTAATGGGCTGGAAATTCTTGGAAGGTACTGTGGGAGCAAAAGATCAAATTGATTGTTTGGATATTAATTTATGAAGTTGTCGCTTCTAGAGCTACGTAATAACTGCAAAGGCACATGACATTTTGCAAGTAACTGTTCGAATGCATTTATCTGCAACAATTCTTGTGTTTCAGGTGGTAGGGGAAGGGAGCCTCGTCTTATAGAGCGTGAGTAATTACTAATCACTCACGCTCTATAAGACGAGGCTAATCACTGATTAAGATCCAAGTCAACTTTGATGTTAGTGATTTTCAACGACAAGTTTTATGTCAATGTTTATTTTGTAGACTTCCGCGTGACCTTAAAAAATGACTAGACATGATTGTGGCCTACTATTGAATAGACTAGCATATTGTCATAGGGATAAGATAACACGAACTATATATTTGGACTTTCACGATGGTGTCTACCTCTACAGAGAAAACATGTTGGACATAGGGCGCTGGTGGACAAAATTTCGAGATTTTGCTTTGAGAATTAATTCTTTCAAGAGGAAGAGTGTATTAGAACGACACAAAGGTAAACTTCCTTTCAACCCATGATACACCTGATATAATTTTACTACAACGGCGTATGATCTTGATAAATGCTAGAGAGTTTAGTTATGTGCACTTGGGCTTCACCTTTAGATAAAAATATGTTCCACAGAAGATTCTGTTATCATTTTAAGTTTGCTATATCTATTAAAAAAAAGGACATCTCACCAGACTATTTGCAATGTCAGCTAGAGTAGCCTTGATGTCTTCATAGATTTTTTTTAAACCAATTTCTCCGCATCACATTTGCAGCTTGCCAACAAATTTTATTTTTTTTGCAAATGATCCTTCCAGTTATTTCACATAGTTGTTACAAGTTACTGCATCAATTGCAAAAGGAGATTTTTTTGTTAATCTGTCAAATGCTAGATCCTAGTTGATATACTCAACAAGAAACAATACTACATGCATTAGATAAATTGCTCTTGAGGAGGTTTCATTGAAAATGGATAATCACAATATGATCGTGCAGCTGCATTAGATTTTTTGGAAACATATTTTTTCATAGTAGTTTGAAATCCTCACATTTGGAGGTTATAAAAAAAATATCTTAATACTTTTTATATTTTTTGAATATACATATTGATTGACTGACTTTGCAGGTAAATATTGAAAAGAAAATTAAACATGATTATTCTTTATATACATTTATGTTTTAAGAGGTAATTGAAATGATGTATCATCTACTTTCATTTCTTGTATTATTCTATATTTTTTTTTACTGAAACATGAGTTTAAAAAAAAATCAATCATCGCTATACTTTTAGTTAGTTTTGATCAAAACTAATTTAAATTAGATGTTACTCATGATGAACTTTTTGAGACTAATTTTATTTTTAGCCAAAAGTACCTCATGTAAAATTTATTGACCACATTAATAATAACTTTGATTACTTGAGTATCAAGTTTCATCTTATTTGCCTAAAAATTAAGATAATAAAGTATAAGATTTGGTTCATAGTTTTCATTTTGAAGCTTTTAGAAATTTATTTATAATAAAGCTATCAAATAAAAAATAATTAAAAATTTGTATGATACATTTAATCTCATATCATTGATACGTTACATCAGTTGAGGATTTTTTTTAAGAGTGCTTATACTCCCACCCTGCTGATTTGTGTTTTCCATACTCCACTCCTTTCCTTACATCTTTTGACGTTTTCCCCTTCACCCATTTCCCCTTTGTTAGACCATGGCAATCATCTCTTGTACCAAACTTGACGCAATGCAACAATATGACGCCCATCTTGTAAACGGATCGCTTGGTGATGAAGCTATAAAGATGAACGGCAACATGCTATAACCACGCAGCCTTCAAGGTATCAACATCGTAGTAAGTGGCCTTGTAAGGGAGGTTCATGGGTGGCGGTACAAGGAATGGGGGAATCAGAATGGCGGAGACGGATTGGTGAGAATCAGAGGGAGGGGGTGAAATTAAGGAGTGAGTGTGGAAACAGCATATCTGCAGGGTGGGAATATCAATCCCTTATTTAAACCCTAATGATTTTTACTAACTTGGTCATCCACATGGATTCACTTTAGTTAGCCTACTACTCTCATTAGACACTAATCAGGATTAGTTGTACTTACTACATAAGATGACTTGTTGAAGATATATATTATATCTTAGGATAATTTTTTAAATAACTAATAGTATATTTTAATGCTTCTAGCATTTGTAAATGTGATGAAATTTCTGTTGCATATTATCTCTTTTGTGATATGCATTTTAAAAAAAATATATATATAAATGATATGATAAGGTTTCAGCTTTACTAAGAGGGCTTCTGTTTGTAGCGTTTAAATTATCTGTTTGTGTGGAGCAACAGTATACATAAGAAGATGCAAATTTGACTATAATTGCATTTGAAGCTAATGAAAGAATCAGGTGTAGTGACAGATCGAAGAAGAAATAAAGGCAACTAACTGCAAGATCTTGGATCTTTGGTAGTGACCTCAAGCTTTAAGACTCATAGCCTTTACAAGTTGCCCTTCTTTATCTCTTTGTTCACTTCTGAACAAAATTAGTTCGACTAGAAGACAAAGATGAAAAGACAACTCATGATAGTCACTTAGTGATTGTATCTCAAATGAAAGGTGGTAGGAAAGGACAAGAAAATGACTGAAAGGGTCACTCTCTTAACGATGTTTGATATAAGACAATCCTCGATAGTTGTACTTCTCAATTTTTTAAAAAGAATGAGGACTAAAACAACAGATTATTGCCATTGAGTAGAAGGCAAATTGCAGGACTTTGGTTTGTATGGCAACTCAAAAACTCAGAGCACCAGATTTCACTTTCAAGATTTTCTTTGCGATTTCACTTAGAAACATTGTGAAATCAACGTTGTACTCTGTAAATTAACTATGTAAAATTATTTGAGAGTATACTTATGATATATGTATGGAGCATGTTGCTACTTATGAAGTTTTTTGCTCGTTTGTTGAATGTATTGTGTCGATGTATTTGAATGGATTTTTATTATTAAACTAAGCTTTACAGTGGTTTGCAGGAGAATGTATGAATTTTGCTTTTGAAGTAAGATTTCTATGTATAATTACGTTAGAGTACTTCTTTTGTATACATGAAAAGTTACAAATTGTGATACACACTCAACTCGGTAATTTTATCTTCAAATACATACTGTCTTTATGAGTTAAGCGCATCAAACCAAAGAAAGACTTTCAGCTTTACATATATTTTGAAAATAAATTCTAATTTCAATTAGAACTTACTTTCTGAGTTACAGATTAAAAAGTATGATATACTAGAATATTTTATATATATATATATATATATATATATATATATATATGAATGATATATGATATACATTAAATCAGATGACTTGCTGCCACAAGAAGAAAGTAACTCCAGTTGGAGATATACAAAAATGTGAGTATATCACACATGACAATACATGAAATTAAATGGAACCTTGAACCAGAAAAGTATCTTTACAATATATTTGTGCTCCTAAACGATTTGGAACATAGATAGATTCAACTAAGTAAAGAGATGAGTCATCTTCTCTTGGTGAGCATGAATTTCTGATCTTGAAACTAATGAAATCTTCTCTACACAATAAAGCTCAAGCTTTTTTGTTGACAAGCTTGGGATGCATATTTGCATAGGAGGCGATAATTGATTCGCACCAAAGATTGTAAATAACCAAATTCCTTAAAAATTAGTAGCACATTGAAAATCAACACTTGCAGAATGAATTAGATGTACAAGTCACTGAAAGAAGTAAAAGTATCGTTTTAGACCTGTAGAGCATTCCAGAAGTACATCTGGACTTGAGGTCGAATTGATCGATTTGTATTCTTTTTCAACGATCTAGTACAGTTGTTTCAGAATACGTGAGAAAGGGTAAATTTGGATCTCAAAAGCTAATGGTAAAAAAATATGATTAACTATAAAGAGATCACCTGTGCTTGAAAACTACGTCTTTGTGAAACAACAATGACAGATGGTTGATAGCATCAACACACAAAACACTTTAGTAAACATTCTAGGGATTTTATTTCAACTGCTTGTACTCGACGCCGGAGCCACCCAAATATAAGTGTAAATGCAGGAAGACTTCTGAAAACATACACATGTACACTGAGTACACATAAACCTAAACCCTTGGGGCATATTTCGATCATTGGAAGATAATAATGCTCGCAGTCAACTGGAGAACCGTCTTCTCAATGTTTGATATCGTAGCCATGTAAGTGACGAATGCTCCTTGACAACAGAAGCAGGATGACCGCAAACCAAAAGCTATTCCGTTCTTCCTAGGATCTTCTACAAATGGGGTCAACTGTACAATTCAAGGTTTCCAAAATTTTTACAATTAGAAGTATAAAACAGTGCTGACTTAATGTTATCACAAGCAAGTCATCATCCGCGACTACATCGATACCCATTTCTGCTCACTAAGTTGCCGGACAACTGACATGTACTTGTAATTCCAGAAATGCACAAAACGCGCCCTATTGAAGTTTCCCATTGCACACATCCAGGTTGAATCGTGCCTGCAGTATTCAACCGATAAAAGGAAGAAATGATATCCGCCAAGTAGACAACCCAGCAGGTTCAAGCATCTAAACATGAGCTCCACCTAGACAACTTGGCCCACGCAGACTGGTGGTAACTTACATAACCGCTCAAGAAAATTTCAAGATAAACCACTTATAGAGTATTTTCATTGCACATCCTTGGAGAGATGTTATGCAAGTCCCATCTGCTTCCAAGTCTAATCGAACAACAATGCTGCTGCAGCCAAATCGGAGGGTAGATAGCTGTACAAAAAAACATGCCCTGCATTTCTGTGAGGCAATTGTGAACGACAGCTATCCCCCAGATTCACCGTCAAATTGTCTGAGAAGGGTCAGAAGAATAAAAGTCAATCCTACACCACAATTTCCATCAAAGTTCATGAAAAGTCACGTATGAGCTGATTAACTAAAAAATGCCATTCCAACCTGGCTCTTGCTTCACTAAAACCTTCCTGCTAATTACAAGAAGTGAATGTGTTGCAAGAACCATTCCACTTCCCAAAGGACCATCCTCTCCATCTTTGGCATGCAACATCAGCTGACGTAGAGGTTATCCATAAATGGAGATAGAGGATCAGGATCCGCTATCATTCCATGAATAATGCACAATCTTTTCTCCTACGGCCTCCTAATGCACGACACGGCTAGCACCCATTTACATGCATGAGTAGAAGTTCCTCATTAAAGAATAAATATACAAGGTATAATGTAGAGGCTCGTCAAGGCCCAACTCTTGGACCTCTGTATTCACCCCTTTGTACAACGAAATCATCAGGAGGTAGATATTCCTCTAACATGGTTTCAACTTGTGATTCCTCTCTATGTTCACCATTTGCAATAATCCCTCCTGAAGACAACAATAACAACAACGTGTGAAACTTTTTATCTGCAGAAAATAACTGCGTTCACTTGCTAGAATTCCCCCTGACGACATGAAGTAAAAAAGACAACGAACGGAAGCATGCACTTTCTCTTGAATGGATTCTTGATATCGCTAATCTAACGCGACCATTATTCCACACATCAATCTGGGTTGGTTGCCGTCCTGCCCTTTCATACCTGGGTTGGATCCAACTGAGTGTGCTTCTCGATAATAAGTGCAGTGTCTGCCAGTCACAGCAGAATATGGAGGTGCCAGTACGTCCAGAACGGCACAGGGAGTGACTGCAGTGAAGGCATGTATGTTACCCCCGCTAGTAGGATGCAGAGTTGCTGTTTCACAAGGGGCAGTTAGCACCCGATTGACCACCAATTTCGCAGACCTGGCTGCACAAGATAATGCGCGAGAACTTGTCACTCCTCCTGAACATCCACAAGAAAGAAGTACCTTGTTTCAAAATGTGAACAGCCTTAACAAGTCAGTGTGTCCGAAAAGGTTCCTCTTTTTTACAGGAAGTCCGAAACTTCCTGATTCGCCTGACCAGTAGATTCAGTGGAGCCAGGTACATTGAACCAGACGCCTCTAGTAAGAAGACCATGCGGTCCCTTTGTTCAAAAACAATTGCGTAGAGAAAATTACGGACAAGTTCCTCTCTTACCGTCTGGAATTCACGGCGATTCTTCACACATCTGATCCTAAGAGGTAGCTAATAAGCTGACAAAGCTTTACACACATAGGGGACCATTGCTCCCACAAAGATCGGACAGTTCAATCAACATTCCTCCCCGTATATCTTTGAGATACTTACGTACGGATGGGTCCGAATTCAATTTTTCATCGCAGGGGTTGACCCAGTCATACGCTTTCACGTGCATGGAGCCGTACAACAATTTACTAAGAACGGTCATCCCAGGATGGTTATGAAGAGGTATTTGTGCCGAGGTTGGCAGACAAAATATTCCCATCTGTTTACACATGTTACAATAAGACATACATCAGCTCAGAAACTGAAAGTTAAAATCTCCACTATCTACCAAGAATCTGTCTGCTTTTATTGATGCGTACAAACATGGTGTATATCTCGTGCAGTCCGGAAGAATTCAATCATCCACTGTCCATGATAAGATGTGACAACTAGAAAGTTCGTTGGTGTTCAGGAGCTTACAGAGAAATCTTCACACTCATACAGATGTAGATAAGATATAGGGGGTGCCCATCTGGCAACCATTGGTGTGTGTCGGCCCCTCCGTCCATTTGTACCGAAGAATCCGAAACCCCTCTCTTGCGACATGGCATCAACCTCGTCAAGTCCAACATCCGATGCTTGGATGCTATCTGTAAGAGGCGTAACGAGCATTCTTCTTGATCAATAGTTATTTACAAGAGAAATTGTCGGTCGACCTATTCTACTTGTGAAAGAATTTCCAATCCAATCGGCTACTTGTCCATCCGATTCAAATCCTCACAAGACAACGTGGAAACGCGAATCCTAAGCGTAAGACAACGAGAAAAAGCAATTCATAAAGAAGGCAACATTGAAGGTAGTTGGAGCCAAGACGATAGATCTGCACCTAGGATAGTGCGCACTCGCTGGAGTGCTTGTGCAGAAGGAGGTGCAGACATGGTGAATGTCGCCTTGCACACATCGTGCAACCTCTGTACGGCCGTCATCATTAGTGGCCCCTCTGGACCTCCTCTTTTGTGGACCTTCCAAGCTACTGATAAGGTGGACTGGAAGTAGGATACTTCAACATCGTAATCTCATTTGCGATCTTAATTACGGTACCATTTCGTCCACAAATCCATTTTTCTACGTCACTTGCAACAGGATAACTAGGAAAGACCTTCCAATACTCCATTGCTCAACATTGAAGCTCTTGCAGACATACACCAATGTCACTAGGCACCTGTCCGGTATCTCACTTATGAGGTCTTCGAGTCAAACCCTGGAGAAATGACAATGCTGATTCTCGTTATCAAATCTCCACACATTCACATACTATCTTCATTAGTCCGAACAGGGGTGTGCGAGTCACCAACAAATCAATTTGGACGACAGGAAGGCTAACCTCACGATGTGGTAGGACTGGCTCCGACGGTACTCAAGGTAACAAGCTATTTGTTCGTACTTCGATTTTCAAAAGCATGAATATGAATACTGGAATTGGAGTGCGAGTTTAGAATGAAAGCAAAAGATGGACACTGACTGTCCTAGAGGACAAGCAGCAAGAACTCTACAGAGAACGCCGCCACAAAGGAAGAGCTAACGTGCACCTATTGACAGAATTATACGTCTGAAAGGGCTGCAGCCGCAGTAAAAACTACGAAAGAAGAGAACGGAAGTTGAATACTGTTGTATATGAACCAGGAACGTCTACTGACAGCATGTACAGCATGTTCCACACCCTAATCAGAAAGTAAGCATGATCAGATTGGCTGCAGACTTAAGAGTTCACTTTCGGGCAATATCCAAAAATTTCTACTCTGCTCGACTTTTGATCCTCTACACAAGTGGACTGTAAGTGCTTCACCATGATCAGGCAAAACGACCGACAGTATGCACACGTAGGCGTCCAGGGGCTGAGAAGTACGAATCCAGGTTGCAGCCGAGAAGAAGTTCTGCAGCAGCAAACTAGGCTGTTTGAGCGGATAATGCTGGTCCGAGTTGCCACAAGTAGTCTTCTGGTGACAAAAATTGCCCGCCTGCTGCAGAACGAAAGGCTCACGCAGAGAAGCAAGAATGGATTCCTGACGGGCGGTGAATGTTCTATTTAAAGGTGGACTGCAGGCAGTGGAAAAGTGCCGAGAAGTGCCGAGGGACCTGTCGAAGTGTGTGAATTTTAACCAGACAGTGCTGCCAGGAGAGCAGACCGGGCGTTCTTTGCACCTGCGGATTTCCCTAAGCTAGGGCCAGCCGAGACGATATAAGCTAGAAAGTGATCCGGAGCAGCACACACGGGGTCCTAACCAGGAGCAACAGAACAGCTGGAGTACCAGAATCACAAGCCCCTAGCGCCCAGTATCCAGCCATGGCAACACTTCTCTCGGCGTCGTTCTCACAGGTGACGGACACGACGGACGATTCGGCCATAAGAACATACCTGTCACAAGTACAAGGCACCCGAAGTGTCGTCGGGGGAGAGGGAAGAGATCGTACACCCGGTGCTATTTTCCGTGTCGAGACCAGATCGCATATCCTCGCTCTAACAAGAAAAATTCCCACGCCAGCCCCCGCCACAGTGAGTGCAGTTCAGATCAACCGGGCTCCGGAAGTTGCAGCGCCAGCCCAGGATTGTTGGGAACACTCCGGGCCACACCGCAGCACCACCGAATTGCCCACCAGCAAAATCGTCCCGGCGAGCAAATTGGACCTCCTCAACCCTAACGCTGTGCACGCACCAACAGCGATTGATGCGGCAAACAATAAAATCTTTGTCCGGAGGAAGTGTAAGGGCCGCGGACGCAGTTGCGGTGGAAGCTAATGAGCCTGGTCTTAGCTCCGAGCAACCATCGCCCTCCTGAAGCCTAAGGCCGCAGGGTCCGAGACGCACTCGCTGCAGCAGGAGCGGGTGAGCGAGGCGAGGCGAGGCGAGCCAGCCCAAGCCAGCCAAAGGAAGCAAAGCCGAAGCGCAAAAGCGAAAAGAAGGCCGCAGTATTTTTCCGAGAATTACTCTCCAAAAGCGCACAAAAGGCAGGCCCCGGATTGGTGGCAGGCCGGCCTAGCCCCGCGGTAATTATCTCATCTCATTCCTCGCCCTTGCCTCCCCAACCGCCGTACGTACGCCTTTCGCCGATGGAGGGCGCGGGCGCCCGATATCGGCCAGCCCCCGCGGCAGGCCCTCTCTGGAAGGACCCGATTGGATATAGTGTGGGCCACCGGGTATTTCCCTCGGGCGCCCAGATAGATCCAGCCAATGGCTACCGACGACGCTCCCTCTGCTGACAAGGCTAAGCGCTGCCGCTCGCCTAGGCCACGAATGCAGATCCCAACTGCACTCGCAACTCTTGGCTTGGCACTCTATTACGCCCCCGACGCGTACATCTACGCTCCCGACCTGCCCCAGCGCCTGCCCCGCGCTGCCCGCTGCCCGCTGCCGCGCGCGACAACATTGCCGAACCTGGCTCTGGGGCTGCGGCACGACGTGGCGCTGGGGCGCGGCCGCACGGGATCCATCGGATGGCCCTCGCATGGCACGCGCATCGCTCTTCGCTCGAGCGGCGAGCGCGGGGCTCTTCTTCGCCGAAGGCCCGCGCATGGCAGCCGGACGATGGGTCGATCGATCAATTCCCCGCCCCAAGGCTGAAGAGGATTAGTTCTACGACGTGCGCTCCCATTACAGCCCCCCGGTTCGGCGCAGCCTCGAGGTCTAGTCGGGACCTCGAGGATCCGTTCCTCCCTTCCGCCTTGCTGACGAGACGAGTTCCGCGCGATCTGCATTGTTTATGGCATGGCATGACTGGGTTTCGTTTCCTCCACCATCCCTTGAACCTGTCTTCTCCAAATCCCGACGCCGACCAACCGACCGCCCGGCGCCACCCTTTTTTTTTTATTTGATTGCTCCACGTAAGCGCCTCCGCTGCGTTTCCGCCCCGTCCTCGCGTTTGCTTTCTGATCGGCGTTCGATCGCCCTCCGAGGCCCGAATTCGACCGATCCTTGACATCATGATAGTCGAAGATGCTTTCGCACTTTGAAGTAATGACGCCTTGTGGAATAATGATTGGAATTGGCGTCTCGGTCCCTTTGGATTGATATAGAGCGTAAACTTACCACATTATGTCTGCGGATAAAATGTCACCAGACATTTATCGATTGGCTTCAGATTATCTGCAGGACCCGAAAAGTCGACTCCCTCTAACTAACAATGTGTTCAGGCATACCAAGAGAAGAAAGATGAAATCTTTCTTTATACTCATCTTTCTATGTGCGTAGATAATCCACACTTTCCAAAGGTGTTGCTCGGTATCGCATTGATTCACTGAAGTGGAAGGTATCACGTTCCATATGTCAGGGCTTCATTAAGGATGGGTGATATGGATGGTTTGTTCCACACTACCCGCAATCGAAGGCCGGTGCATTTTGGCATGGAAATAGTTCATCTTTATTGATCTCCTGCAAATCATTAAAATTGCCCAAGGGTTTGCAATGAGTATTAATCAAGCTAGCAACATATCCTTACCACGAGTTATCACTACATTTGCCCGAAATCCTGAGCTTGGTTTTGATCTTTATCTTGGTTTTGAGTTTCAGCAAAGACAGCCATAAAATCTTTCAGGGAAGCCAAAATAGTGGGCGTTCCAGGATAACAAGGATACAACTACCAAACTTTCTAAGAAGACAACGCATAATATTAGTGCTATTACTCTACTTGTCACACTCCATTGGTGACAAGGCAAAATACTTTACGTTCTATGGACCATCTATTTAGCCCTCAATAGACGGGAGGGCTTTCTGGTAGATGGCTGTATTTTCTAGTGAAAACCCAAGTTCTGGAGAGACAAAACCAGTTTGGAAATTATATGTATTATGGTACAATGTCGTGTCCAAAAAATTTCAATAAAGGGAGCGGTTATTTATCCGTCACTTAGGGCTAATTAGCCCTCATTTTACTACATGCAGTTATCTTATTGGTCCATCCAGGGTAATAGGGTTCGTGGATGAGTAACATCTACTTCCAAAATAGGGTGTTCGACCAATTAGATAGGAACATATAGTAGGGTGAGGGCTAATTAGCCCTAGCGAGGGATAACTAGCCACTCCCTTCATAAACCGAATGTGTATATTGTAAAATTATATGCCGCCCCTGAAAAATCTACGCTCTATCCAGAAACGTCCAAACGCCCATAGTAACTCTGATTGAAGGTAAGTTTGACAATGTGACCTATGAATAAGCAGAATCACTTACGGTAGTAATGCACCTGGACTCTTCATGAACGTTGGGGGGCTGTGGACGCTAAGTCATCCCTGTTGACTTAGCGATGCGATTGGAAGGCCATAGCTCTGACTGAGACGGCTGTTTTCTTTCTTATTCTCCTTGCATAGACATATAATCCGTTGCCGCCTGCAGGCAACTCTGGGAGTTTGTGCGCGGACAAAATCTATCACTACTCCGAGCCTCCTTTAGCCTTCCTTGACTTAGTCTGGATTGCTTATGGTGTACACTTATGGTGATTCAGGTTCTTCTCTAGTCTGGAGTCCAGGGCTATGGCGGTGGTGCCTATCAAACCGAATTTAATATGGTAACAACGAAGAGAGAAATGCTAAGAGAACTAATGGTGATCATGGAACTAAGAGACAAATGATCGTACAATATAACTTCAGAAAATAAACTGTTTTGCACAAGCTCAACGATGTCACATCATAATTCTATTTGCCCAAGATTCCAAAATTCACGGTCCCAGTCGTCTTCCCTAATCTATTGATGATCCTGTTGATGGTAAAAACTTTCCCCAAAGATTCAAGTACAGTATTTGTACTGTAGAAAAATCCATTACCCCTAACACTTCTCAGCCCCAAACAAACAAACATTCCTGGCACGACTTCGATGCATCACCGTTTGGCACTTGTAAAGCACCCACAGCACTATGGGGACACGAACTAAATTTCACCACATCAGTTCATGTTCCACCTGCGCAATGTATGAGCATCTTTCCGCCCTCTTTCAATTAGACAATGATCGGCGTTAGATATATAATTGGCATTTTGGTGAGAAGCTCTCCTCCATCCTGACGGTGCTCCTCCCTCCATACCTTCCCTTGTACGATTCCTCGCTGGTAACACATGTGTTATGGGAGATACAGCCAACAGTATGCGGACTCCAAACCACTGTTTCAGCTCAATCGAGCTGCTAACAAGCTCTTCTGACGACCCGTGCTCTGAATGTTTTTCTTAACCCGCACATAATTACAAGTGGGAACCGCACTGTACGTCAATGTGAAGTTTTGCAGAGATTTGCTGACTGGGCGATAGTCAATGGCAGTGACGGCTGTAGAGAGAAGGGGCCTGGTGGGACGGGCAACGACCTCTATATAAACTTGCATGTGACCTGTTGACACTTGACCTCTCTCTCCTCTGAGGGCTTTCTCAGGCGGGCATCAACCCACCTGTGACAAAATCGGCGAGAATGGGCCATCTGACAAACACTTAGCCAACCCACTGTACCCGAGAACGTCGGAACCTTCATATTGTAATGAAACACGATATCCCACCACTATCATCGCGGGGAATAATTCTTCCTTTTTGCAAACCTCGGATTATTTCCTCCGCGAACACAGTTCGACATGACCTGCTAGCAACATGACTTAATTGTTATGTGTTCTCAGATAGGCGAGCTATTCGAATGTTCTTGGAAACATTTGATAGTCGAGCTGCTGGCTGGAGGTTATGTAAATGCATAACGTATGTTACATATTTATGCATAATTTAACTCTCCCTTTCCCTGTCCTACCCAAACTGCACTAGATCAGTTAGCTATTGTACTTTTTTGTCTGTCTGTCCTCCTTCTGACGCACTTTCCTCCGTAAATACAGACGCAGAGCAGATCAGGTCCTGCGGCAAACTTGATTGAACCTGTGTAGCGTACTGTCAATGTTCTCCATTTATGTAACCAGTTGATTCTCTCGGTTTCATGTAATCGGACTGGATCTAGCACTATATCTGCCACAGTTAGTGGTTCCGATCGAAAGTCCTACCCCTCGGTAGGAAGACACAGACACTCTGCATCAGTCTCACACACAGATATGTGGGACTAATCACCTCAACGACAAAGATGTCCTTGGGCGTATCACACGAGTGTGAGCAATCATTTTGGGGTCGTTGATTTGTTGCATTCGAGGCTTCTCGAGAGTAGGAATAACTCGAGGTAGTGTGAAATCTTTGAGAAGCCATCGTTCTTAGCATATACGTATTTATCACAAGGCCAGATTTATTACGGTCATCAACATTGCTCTGAATTAACAGGTGCGCTAATCTTCGTCGTCTCGGTATGCTTTGATCGGCGCTCTTATATACGATGAATCCAGCCGTAGTGTGAAAGACGTTACGATGTCTGATTCCGTATTTTCGTCGTGTACACTTCCTTCTTCTTTTCCTTGTTCCAGAGAGATAAAGATGTCTATTGCACGGTAAACAGTTGCACCCATGTTTCCATTCGGAATACATTCCAACCACCAGACCATAGCTGAAGAAAGTTTTCACCTAGAATCTCGTGTAGCCACTGCTAAGCTTTCTTGGATTCGAAGGCTTCTCCTCAATGATCTCCTTGTATACTTTACCCATTCTCCTGATTATATCACATTCTTTAATGGGAGAGCAGTGATTGAACGGACTTGGAAGAAGAAAAAGTATGGGGTTTAAAGCCAGAAATAAACAAAGCCTTGTGACTGAAAAGTGAAGGTGAGGGAAGCTAATTGTACACATCATACGAAAAGGAAGGGGATGACATGGAAAAAAAAATTAAGTTTTTAATAATGGGAAGACCCCATCAATTCTAACAAAGATGAAACCATAGGGTTGACATGGGGCTTGGCTCCAGTAGCATCACACTCAGAAAAATATACTAGCTAGAATTTTCCTATCGAGGTCAATACTTCAACAAGCAACATGAGCATATAAGAATCGTCATGTAAAGTGACAGCTCTTTAAGAGATTGCACCGAATGGAAACACGACAATATCTGAAACCATATATGAT